ATTGAGATTGTTTTATTGCTTATTGACACCTAAGACTCTCTAACGTTGGTTTACGTCAATGATTTCTGTTAACTGGTACTAATTGCAATGTGCTAAAGGAGCTGTGAGGAGTCCTGGTCGGCAGTTTGAACCCACCAGCTGCTCCGCGCTGGCGGGGGTGGGGAGAAAGATGTGGCAGTCTGCTTTCTTAAAGATTTACAGCCTTGGAACCCTATGGGACAGCTCTACTCTGTCCTATAAGGTCGCCATGAGTCAGAATCCACTCCACAGTACACAGCACCAACAGCAAAGGAGCTGTGGTCTGGATACTCCCTAAAAACATTTGTATATTGATTTTGGAAAGTTTTAAAATTATGTATGGGACAGTTGCTTGAATGCATAATATTTCAAACCAAAAAATTAAAGCAATGCAAAAAGAAAAAAGGCTTAACCCAGAACCCTAAGGGAACTGAAAACATCACGTGTTAGACTTTCACAGAGCACCAGCTTGACTAGAACTGCCCGCTTGGGCTCAGCGTTTTCCTGAAGGGGACAAGGGCAATGAAATGTTTTTGCTAACAAGCCAATTTCCTCTCCTGTTGGGCGCCTGGCTCCAAGAGTTAAAACACTATCCTGAGCAGATAATTTATTTGGCACAGTAGAGAAGAGTGTCTATAAAAACTGTCTGCATACATACATTATACACAATACACGTACATGTTTATCGAGTTACATTTAATGAAACACTTGTTGGATATTTTTATACAGAATTGTTTTAAAATAAAAATATTTCAACCAGGTGAGCATAGGAAACTTTGCCACTGACTCATCACATTTCTCTTTTTGTTTTTCTAAACTCACAAATGACTTCTCAGTTTAGAATAAATTATTCCAAAGAATACTTTATTTTCTGCAAATGCAGAAGCTACCGAGATAGAGAGCCAGATTACAGAATTTTAGAGCCACAGAAACCTTAAGGTTATCTAGCCCGACCGTCTACATTCCCATCTATAAAATCCTGCACAGTTTCCACAACTTGAATGTGTACTCTAATGGAGAGCTTCACATTTTTCCAAGTAGCCATTCCATTGTAGACTGCTCTAAATGGTAGAAAGTTATCTCTAATTTTCATTATCTTCAAGACATGCTATCTGTGGATTGCGCCTGATGTCTTCTAGATGTCTCAGCCCTGTGACTTTGACTGTTGTTTTAGGCAACACTTTGCAAGTCAGCCTTATTTTTGTGGTTCCCTGGTTGCAGAATTCTTACTTTGGCTTCTTATTAATTTTTTCCTAATATTTTCTCACCCTCTTCCTGGCCTAATGATGTGTAAACTGTCATAATGCCATGAAGAGAGGCCCTTGGCATGAGTGGAATGGATTCCAACTGCTCAGCTTTGAATGAAAGTGGATCAAGGGGCAGGGCCAGCAGCTGTGGGTAGGGTCAGCTATTTCTGCTCCTAGCTGCTGCCTGACTCCCCAGCAGGAACTCCTGCACTGCCCCCAGTGGGAGCTCAAGATAGGAGTTTGTGGCGATTGCTTATTTTTATTGTTATCCAAACAGCAGTGAGTAGAACCCACTAAGCAGCTCCTAGGAAGAAAGGCCCAGTGATCTGCTGCTGTAAAGATTACAGCCAAGAAAACCCTATGGAGCAGTTCTACCCTGTAACACGTGGGGTTGCCATGAGTCAGGGGCCAACTCAATGGCAGTTAACAACAAGTACTAAGTCTATTAATCTGTAAAAATGAGTTTCATGGTATGGTGTTGTCTGCCAAAACCACAGCCTTTTTTGTGATAGGAAAACTTACGATGCATTTTTGCAATCTATACCCTTTGCTACCTAATAAAATTACTAACTTATGTGATCTAATATTTCTAATTGTGCACCAGGAAGCATCTTGGGGAACAAAGGTCCTGGAGAGATGAGGCTACAAATTTTCTGTTGAGCTCTGAGGGTGATTTCAATAGCAACAGCTATAGCGGATAATTTAGAATTGCTGATTAAGTATTGTGATGAGTGTTTCTCATTGTCATCATGTGGTATTAAGTACTTTGAGGTGATTGTTCTTGGGCACAGCCTTAGGAAGATTATTACCATGCTGAAAGAGTTGTCTTGGAGAAGTAGCCTCCTTCCTTCCTTCTCTTCTGCCCTTCCTTCCTTCCTTTCTTTCTGAATCTTTCCTTCTTCCCTTCCTTCCGGGCTGCCCTACTAGAGCAGGGCTCTAGTGACACAGACCGTGTGTGTGTTTTGGGGTGGGGGCTGGAGAGAAGCAGGAACTTTCCACTACACAGAAGTCAGTAGTGAGCTTTCTAGTCAACAGAGGCCTCAAAATTTTAATGACATCTTTTTAAAAATCTATTAAATGTATTTCTTTTTTTCCAGTGTCTAAAAAGTATTCTTGAATTTTGGCTCCTAGCTTCATCCTAGTGGTTCTCAACTGATTTTGGTTTGTTTCATTCTGACACTAACTGGGCTAGATAGGATGATTAGATAGATAGGAATCTCCACCCAAAAGGGTTTGTCCATTTTTCCCCTGAGAGAAGAATGGTTTTCTTTTTATTATGTCTTTTACAAAATTTTCTCTAAACTTAGACTATTCTTAGCCACAGTACAATAGTGCTGTCTTTAAAAAAGAAGAAAGAAAAAAAAACTTAGGTGGTTACAAATGATGAATGCTTTCTTTTTAAAATCTTTCCGTTGCTATATTTCAAAGTAAATTTTAAAGCCAAAATCCACATTTTTCATTTATTTATTGTTGAATCAACATGATACATTTAGACCTTACTTCCTTCTTCCTGATATTTTAAACAGAAATAAACTTAGAATTAGCTGTGGTGGGAATAATGAACTAAATCATAGAAAAGTTAATGAGTTTTTTATATACTCTGGCCCTTGATAATTAAGTTGTATTTTAAAATAAAGTTACTTCTTAACTTACAATTAAATCAAGTTCTGATTTCACCCCTTACTACCTGTATGATCTGGGTAAGTTATGCTTAATGTCAGTTTTCTCATTGGTTAAAAAAATGGAGAAAATAATAACAATGTCTATTTTACAGGATTGTTATAAGAATTAAATGAGGTAATAACAAATTAAAAAAAAAATATGTTAATGGTGAAGTGATATACCACATTTGTTACGGCAGTTTTTTAGGAAAGTACCATATATATAGATGAGGATTCATAATTCAATTTTGGTAATAAATGCTTTACATTTTGCTATTTAGTCTCCAGGCAAAAGGCAACCCTACCTTGGGGTTTGGAATTAGTATAAGAGCTACAGAAAAATATGGACATATTCTAAATACTCTGGTATACTTACCGTACCTTGCTGTTATTTTTAAATGAATATTTGAGTAAATTCCCTCAAAATGATGTTAAATAAAATGGTCACTGACTCTGGTAAGCCCAGACGTAAAGACTTTCTCCCATTGCCTGGACATTTTAAATAATTTTTAAAGCCTGTCCTTTTTATGAATGTATTTCCTACCAGTAGGAATTTGGGCATAAATGTCTAAAACATCAAATTTGATTTCATTACCGTATTAATCTTTAGATGATTTAGTCCATTATTCTTAACACAACTACTTCTAATGTTATTTCTGTTTAATAAACTTTTAATCTGGTAAAAATGTGCATTTTGAGGAAATTTGTCCTTATAATCAGCTAAATTGTGTCAAAATAGGAACTTCTTAAGACTTCTAAGCAGGAGAACTGAGTGTGCAAAAATATTACTACCAGGTACTTTATTGTTTTCTCTGTGCTCACATAGAAATGTTGCTAGTGGAGGGTATGTGGGAGGGTTTAATTAATTTATAGTCTATATTTAAGAATTTTTCTTAATACACCAGTGCTCAAATCCAGAAAGCAAATGTGGTCCACAAAATTGTTACTAGTTGAATGATTTAGGAAGCTGAGAAGAGTTTAATCTTCCAATTTAGTTAAGTCACAGATTATTTGGAGCTGTTAGATGTCTGGGATAAAAAAGGCTTTTTTCTCTTTTGAAATGAGGATTGCTATGGCAGTGATTATGATGTCACATTGAAGGTTACACTGTAAAATGGCTCCCAGATCATTTTGGCAACTGACATCTCAGAATCCGTCCATTATATAAATACAAAGACAGCCCCTCCATTCTCGTCTCCATTCTCTTAACTGCCCCTCTTCAACTGTTACATTCTTCTTGACATATAGAAACCAGAATTGTATGCATTATACCAATTACAATCTCCTAAATAGTTTTACTTTCCCTAAGCTGTTTACACGATAGATTACAATTTTCATTTCCTGTGATTTTATATAAGAGTAGAATAGAGTTTTCAGTATTATTCTCCATCCCATACCTCTTGCCATCCAGTCAATTCCGACTCATTGTGACCCTGTAGGACAGAGTAGAACTGCCCCTTAGGGTTTCCAAGGCTGTAAATCTTCATAGAAGCAGACTGCCACGTCTTTCTCCCACAGAGTGGCTAGTGGGTTCGAACTGCTGACCTTTCGGTTAGCAGCCAAGCACTTTAACCACTGCTCCACTAGGGCGCCTATATTTATTGTCCATATTCTTCCTGAAAGTTCCCAGCATTTGGGGGCATTTGAGACACAGCCATACAGGGAACTAAAAGGTTCAGCAAACCCCCTATAATTCTTATAGGTGCCACTGTCACCTATATTTTCAGTTTTTATTACTTTCCTTCAGACTGTACTCCCCTCATCTTATACTTGGAGCCCTGGCGGCATAGTGGTTAAGAGCTTGGCTGCTAACCAAAACGTTGGCAGTTTGAATCCACCAGCCGCTCCTTGGAAACCCTACGGGGCAGTTCTACTCTGCCCTATAGGGTCACTATGAATGGGAATCAACTCGATGCAGCTTTGGTTTCTTGGTAATCTTATACTTAACCCTTATGAAATTTATTTAACCATTTTTCTGCCTGTTTACACAAGCCATATTAGCACTTGATATATATTTGTTTGCTTAACATTTTTCTACCGAGAATAATATCATGTCATTGGATATTCCTTCTAGATGAGCCGTTCTCCACCTTCAGCTTCTACGAGAGTACAGCTTTCCGAAACTGGAGATGCCTGAGCCCCAGCCCCAGAGACTGGGGGTGGGGAGGAGGTATTGCTAATTTTTTTTAAAGTGACTTAGGTGACTGTAGTATGCAGTAACCAGGGTTGAAAGCCCCTAGGCTAGGTGACTAATGAGTGTACTTCTTAATATCAGGCCCCATCTCTGAGGATCTCACTGTTGACACTTTTACATCCAGATTCCGATCCATAAGTTCTTAACCTTTTATTTTCTAAATTCCCAATTTATGCTGAAACAGATTTTTTCCAATTTCTTGCCCGCTCCATTTTTCTCATACGTGGTATAATGTCTGAGGCATTTTTGAAAGCTAATAATCATTTGCTCCAACTCATCTACAAACGTGTGCTGCCACAACCACTAACATACCCTGGCACATCCACAGTGTATCTTTGTTGCTGACCCAGATTAATCAGCCATGACCTCACCTTACAGAAGACACTGTAACTTTCACTGATTTGATAGGATCAGTGATAACCTTCAGTGATCCTATTCTTTATCATCAAAGACAGTTGACCGTGGGTGGCTGACCCCTGTACTAGCTGTTTGTAGTTTTGAGGGTTTCAAACCAGTTTGTTCTGGTTCAAGCCCCTGCTGAGAATTTGCATTTCCACCCCCAGATGTACTAGATCAGAATCTACATTTTGACAAGATGCCCAGGAGATTCTTATGTATAATAAATTTTGAGAACCACTGCTCTACTAGTGGTTCTCAGAATTGGTCCCTAACCAGCAGCATTAGCATCGCCTGGGAACTTGTTAGAAACGCAAATTCTCAGCATGGGTTCAAACTGGAATGCACCAGTTCGAAGCCCTGGTATTTTTAATATCTAATCCCTTTCCTTTCTCGCCCTGTATTTTAATAGCTACAGCTCACGCGATAGGTGAAGAAAAGCAGAAGGAAAACTGTTTTGAATCCAATGTAAGATCAACATTTCCATCAGGTATGATTTCTATAATGCTTTGATAGATGTCAAAGTGGCTTATCTTTAAAATTTGATATCCTATTAATGTCTAACTGTATTTTTCTTTTTTTAGTGACAGACCCATCTGTGCTTACAAACGATCTGAAACAAAAGCTAGCCAAAGAACGCAGAGAGGGGAAAAAGAAAATACAAGATGGTATATTTGAGAGTTTTTAAATTCAAAAATGAATGAATTTTATGTTAAGGTTATATATTTGCTAAGTGGTTTTACTTTCCCTAATCTGTTTATACGATAGATTACAATTTTTATATGATGTATTATGTTCCATTAAATACTTAGAGTAAATCAGGTAAGATAGGCCCATGAAAAATATTTGACTAACTTACTTACTTTTTTAAAAAGTACTTTCTGTTACCTTTAACTTCCTGAAAACTAAAGTATGAAAATTTCTTCCCCATTTATACAAACAAGCAGAATGGGATTTCAGTACAAAGTATTCTAAAAACTGAAAATGAAGCTGCTCCCGATTTTAACATAGATATGGTGTTTTTTTACTGATTGCTGTGCTTCTAAAGTGGGAGTTTGTATAAGTTAGGCTCTCAAAGAAGACTCTTTCTACAGTTTGAAAGAATGCTTTTCCAGCTATCTTTCTTCTTTAGTCTTCTAAATCCACTAACAAAATAAGTGTTCAGCTTCATCCAAATGGAATAGAAATGACCTCAGTTTTGATGGAGCAGCTGTTTCTTCCTGTAGCTCTTTGGGAGAGTGCTTTACAACTGCAGATACTCTCCAGGCTTCAGTGAGGGAAAAAATTGAATATAGAACCGACATTCTACTATTCTGTCATGTGGTATGCGACTAAGTCCATTAACAGAAAACCGGCATGGTTTGTATAAATGAGGCCTTTCAAAGAAGTTTCCTATCAGAAGGAAGTAAATTCTTATTTTAATGTCCAGCATGTTAATCTGGTGGGGTTGACTTTAGCTCAAATCCGCAGAAATCTCACATGAAAGAAAATACTGTTTCTTAATTTGGAATTTTATTTTGGACAGGATGAGAGTCATCTAAGCCAATCCAGCTCTCCAGAGTTAAGTGAACACCCAGTGAAAATGGTCTTTAGTGATCATCTCTGTTAAGTTATTAGTTATTAGCACAGGTTATGTTAAGAAACAGAATGAAATATATTAACTTTTTCCTTCTATGTGTATTAAGTGGAAAACTTACTTAAGTAGTCTCTTGGCTTGTATACCCTGAAAATGTATTTGGAATATTTCAGTTAACAAAGAAATGCAACTTCATGAAAAAGAAAGAAAGGCCAGGACACTGTATGAGAAACAGATGGAGGAAAAACAACGCAAGCTGAAGGAACAAAAGGAAAAAGATGAACAGCGGAGAGCATCCGTACGAATCAAAAGAAGACAAAAGTTAGAAGAAGAAAGGGTACATGCTTTTACAGCCTGTTACTCATATCATAGACTCTGTTGCCTGGGTCTAGTCTAGGATATTTTTTTCTTAGCCCATCTCTGCCTTTACTGGTCTAATCTGTGGAAACAGAAACTCTCAATTCTTCCTTTCTTCTTCCCCGCAACATTAGAGGCTCTTGCTCCTGTCCTGATAAGATCCCAGGAGTTGCGACAACAGCAACGGGTTTGGTTTGGTTATCCTAGATAAAGTGGAGCCTCGCAGGTCCCGGAACAGAGCCCTATCCCACTTTAGGACACGGCACACGGAGTACCCGTGGCCTGCAGTTGGCTCTACTACTAAAAAGTGTTCAATATTGTCCCATTGCCTAGGGAATATTCAGGGCAGAGCCCACCGTCTGGCCCTTCCATGTATGCCCCCATCTAACTGTCTCAGTCTTACTTCTCACAACTCCTCTGCGTCTCACCCCCCAAGCAAAAGGACTCCTGGTGGCACAATGGTTAAGCGGTTGGCTACTAACTGAAAGGTTTGTGGTTTGAACCCACTCATCGGCTCCACAGGAGAAAGACCTGGCGACCTGCTCCTGCTATGAGTCAAAATCAACTCGACAGCACCTGACAGCAACAACCCCAGCCAAATGAGAGTACCTGTGCTCCCTTCCATATTTCCCGGCTCACTCATGTGTGCTCACGCTCTTCCTCTCACTGTCCCTTGTGTTCTTCCCTTCCCCTTTCCTGAACCCCCAGGGCCCTCTGGGTCTGTGTTACAGCCAGCATTCTCTCTCCTGCCCTCTCCCTCTCGTTCTCTGTTGTGCTGTGGCGCTGCTGCTGTTTTTTCCTTTCTGATCTCTTTCTTGGTGTCCTTGACACTCTGTTAGTATGTGTCAGTGGCTTTGTCATGTCCCCTCTTTTCCCTCTGTCCCTCTTCAGTCAGTTTGTCTTTTGTTGTTTATACTGGACATCTGGCTAACTGTCTCATTCTGTATGATTCGCTCTCTTTGACATCAAATTTTTCTCTGGTAGGTCATTCCACTACTTCACTCGGAGTCTGCTCCACTCTTTCTCCTGAATCTGGCATGTTCGCTCTGAGGCGGTTCTCTTTCTTGTTGGCATGCTCTCTATTCCTTTATTCCAGTGACTCTCAGCTGTCGCTAAATAAGTCTTTGTCAGTCTGTCTCTGGTTCTCTGACTCTGGTATTCATGTGTTAACTACTAATTATCATAAAGTAATTGTCTCTGCATTGTTATTGTTGTTGTTAGGTACTGTTGAGTCGGTTCTGACTCATAGCGACCCTTTGTACAACAGAACGAAACACTGCCCGGTCCTGCACCATCCTCACAATCGCTGCTATGTTTGAGCCCATTGCTGCAGCCACTGTGTCAGTCCATCTCCTCGAGGGTCTTCCTCTTTTTCGCTGACCCTCTACATTACCAAGCGTGATGTCCGTCTCCAGGGACTGGTCCCTACTGATAACATGCCCAAAGTATGTGAGACGTAGTCTCGCCATCCTTACTTCTGAGGAGCATTCTGGTTGTGCTTCTTCCAAGACAGACTGGTTTGTTCTTCCGGCAGTCCATAGTATATTCAGTATTCTTCACCAACACCACAATTCAAAGGCATCAGTTTTTCTTCCGTCTTCCTTATTCATTGTCCAGCTTTCACATGCATATGAGGTGATCGAAAATACCATGGCTTGGATCAGGTGCACTTTAGTCCTTAAAGTGACATCTTTGCTTTTGAACACTGTAAAGAGGTCTTTTGCCCCAGATTTGCCCAGTGCAGTGAGTCGTTTGATTTCTTGACTGCTGCTTCCATGGGCGTTGATTGTGGATCCAAGTAAAGTGAAATCCTTGCCAACTTCAGTCTTTTCTCCGTTTATCATGATGTTGCTTATTGGTCCAGTTGTGAGGATTTTTGTCTTCTTTATGTTGAGGTGTAATCGATAATGAAGGCTGTGGTCTTTGATCTTCATCAGTAAGTGCTTCAAGTCCTCTTGCCGTAGAACAGGGACAACCCAAACTCGGTGTTGCTGAGGAGGGGCGAGTGCAGGCAGGAGAGAGCCATGGGAGCCTGTGAGGCAAGAAGGAGCGTGAAAGAGCACAGAGGAGCAGTGACTTTGGAAGCAGTGGGAGAGAATTCTTATGAATCACAAATGTTTGAATAATACAAGCTTAATCTCTCTTTTTAGTATTTATTATTTCTAAGTGATTTAAAACAATTGACTTTCTGTTAGAAAATATAATTGGAAAATGTTGTCATTCAATAAATGTTAAGAATTGCAGTTTCTTTTCTCTTCAGAGCAAATGGACTACCCCCCGTTTCCTAGTATGTTTAGCTTTGCCCTCAGAGAAACAGTGGGGACTTCATAAGGATGATGTTGCTATGAAAAGATTGTTGTTAGGGAAGAATAGAAAACCTTCTGGCCCTGAAGCTGATTTGCTTACCTGAGTATAGCCTGTGATATGGTATAGCACAGGGATGAGAAGAGAAAACTGTAACCCATTTCTGGAAGTGTGGCATTTACATTTCTATAACTCTTGCCTAGACCAGTTTAAATTGAAGTTGAGGTGAAGAGAAACACACTGGTTATCTTTTTTGAAACTTTATTTTTATCAGTTAGCACCAGAATTTAAGATGTTACAAATACAGGTATCATAGATGACGGACATAGATTTCATTTTACTTATGTGTGTGTTTAGTTGATTTTTTTCCTGGCTTATTCTACAAAGAATTTTTTTTATTGTACTTTAGATGAAGGTTTACAGAACAAATAATTTCTCATTCAACAGTTAGTACACATATTGTTTTATGACATTGGTTAACAACCTCACAACATGTCAACACTGTCCCTTCTCAACCTTGGGTTCCCTATTACCAGCTTTCCTGTCCCCTCCTGCCTTCTAGTCCTTGCCCCT